CAGTTTACTTGCAAACCCTAGAGTTTATATTATCATATGAACATTATTTGAATATAATCAAATACCTATTGTTCTGCCAGTATTTGGCTTGCTTTTATACATATTTATAGTTCGTACGATTCTTCTATCTGTCAAAAACAAGACCCAATCTTAAAAGAAGGCAATTAACGACAGACTCAAGTTTCTCATCGATTTATATGAGAATAAATGTAAATTTATTTAGCTCGTATTTTTATTCCACAAAGATCTGAACATAAGTATTTTAATTTTATTAATCAAATGATGTTTTGCATAGGACAAGTAAACCATTGCGCAGGGAGTCGTCGAACCTTGGTAATGTTTCAATGGTTTTCAATTCACTTGAATAACTAATAACCTAGGTCTTTGATGCACAATGGTTCAAGATTATTGTTGTTGGGTGTGGCTTACTATAAGTTAAAGATCGAATATCTCCCCTGCTACATATTTAATTGATATAGGTTTGCTGTGAACATCAGTAACATTACTTCATTTTTATCTTGATAGAGTAAGCTTTCTAACTTGGTACATTTTACACATATTTATGGCTCATTTAGAGGAGAATGGCTCCCCTGGAATTACTTCAACCAACCAAAGCCATCTCTCAATAGCGTCATCAAATTCTACAACAAACTTCATGAACCTATGTGTTTCTGCTCGTTTTCATGCATCTCGTTGCAATGAAAAATATTTCACTAAATAGAAGATAAATAACCAAACGTTTGATACCGTCACAATCTGTATATTCTTCTATTTCGTATAACCAGTTTCTATTTCCATCGAAAGTTTTCATTGGATTATTGTCAACTAAAATACCTTATCATGTCCTAGACCTAATTAATAGACAAGTGTTCAAATCCGTGGTAGCTGTTTCATGTATTTTTATTGTTATCATCCTTGTAGAAGGCGGGCCATGTTTCATAATTGGTCATTCTTGCAAATATTTGTCACATCAATCATTCTCATAAATCATTTTTATTCAATCGTTGATTATTAGGCTTCCCGCTGCTTGTCAGCAGGGAACCTATTGCATTCCTGTGTTTTATTATTATTATTATTTATTTATTATTATTATTATTATTTTTTTCAAATTGGTCCTACAAACTTGAAATTCACCTCAAATGTGCAGAAATTCTCAGCTAGCAATAAAATGCAAATTTTATGCACGACTGACCACGCTTTCACGCTCCAGTGAGCAAAACGCGTCTTCAGTTTTTTTGCGATTTCTCAAAATTGATACAGGGTATTGGGTTGAAATTCATAACAATGATTAATGGACATGTTCCGGATACAATATGTCAAGGATACGCATGAGTGACCTCGGCGATACGCTCCAGTGAGCAATATAGGATTTTACATTTTCATCTTCTTCTCGAGAACGACACTGCTTAGAGACTTGAAATTTACATCACATGCAGATAATAAGTGCCCCATCATAAATTGCAACTTTTATGCATGAGACCACGATTTCACGCTCCATGGCTGCATTACGCGGGAAGCCTGTTAAAGCTGCAAGCAGCTCTAGTTCTATTTGGATGATTGCGATAATTAGTGCTCTGTGATTACATCTCGCTCCAAATCCGGTATCAAAGAAGTAAATACTCGCTTTTAAAGGATATAAATATGTTTAAAAAAAATTCCTAGTTGTTCAGTTCATGGTAAATGTTTTGTATATATATCTTATACTACTGTATAATCTAGAGGTATTATGGTTCGTGTATGTTATATGTAACATATGCTAATTAATAAAATTTATCCGGAAAATCGTTTTGCGTCTAAAATTTTTTTCTGTTGCCGAATAAATCGCACAGTGACGCATAGTGTTTATATCATATTTGAAAAAAGAAAGCACTGCTCAAATACATGGGCACAAAAGCCAAAACGAAATATTTTACCCACAATTTCCCCAAGATCATATCCTGGACGAAACTGAACCTGTGACCATCGTAGCTTACTAGTACCGATACCCGGGCTGCCCTATCTCATGTGCTGATGATTCTTGTGCCAATGTTAATAGAAAAACAAAATGAATCGACTCACGACTGTGGTAATTATTAATTTGAAGTACTTTACAGTACTTTTGTTACAGTAACTTATCGTGTCGGCATTGAAAAACTTTCGACTTTCGCGTAGCTAGATTTTGCCAAATCAAATCGCAAGACAGTAGTGACGCTTGGCGAAATAAAAATCGTGATTCCATGAATAAAAAAAATAATACAGCAAAATTTTGATAAAATATCAGATCTCATAGGATTCATGGAAAATTTAGGAATAAATGAAAGTAATAGATTTCTTGCGAAAAATACATGTTCGACCAAATTTTAAAGCAATTGGTCCAGTAATTAAAGAAAAAGGCGCTTTCTCATAACGATAGGTAGAAAATTAAAACATGAAGAACAAGAACAACACTCATACTTAAAATTTCGGTTTAATTCTCGCCAGTATATTTCTAGTATTCACGTTTGTGATTGTGACGTAATAAGCAATGACGCCACTAAACAACATCTTTCTGAAACTTTCGATATACTTTAACAAGAAAATTCGCATCGGTGATTTTGACGTCATAAGTGATGACGTCGCGAATCTGATGCGTTCAGCGCCTGCCGTGTATTCGGACAACAACCGTAATTATCATCATGAGTGTACGGAACAGACAGTTTATGCGAGCAATGTTTACATTGCACAATATTTCAGCTTAATAAAAAATTAAATATTTTAGAACAAAAGAAATTGATGTTTATGATCCACATGGAGTGTCACGAGAGTTTTTATTATATCACTAAATTAACTGCATTGTGAATTGCTTTGTAACTTTTTAACTGTATACAAAGATGGCTCTGGGTCAGATACCACGAACATGAGCCCTACACGCAAATAAATAATTTCAACATCCGCATACTAACATAAAACATTCTAAAATCAGAAAGTTGATTATATCAGTCTACATTAAGCTGATGCCGATACATACCTAGTACAAACACACTAAATGTTTCTCGGACAGACCTTGTAAGCCAAACAACACCTTCGAATAAAAATCAAATCGTGTGGCACCAAATTGTGTGGCGCATCGTGCTATAAGAGTTAGAAATACGCTCGACACCGCACTGCGGAGTGGTTCACGTAACCGCTGGTCGGTTACGGCTTCTTCGCCATCGAGTTCATGCATCTGGAAACAAATAACTGGATAACCATTCCCATACCAGACATGCATTGACTGGTAATCGGAAGAGGGGCCGCGGCTCGCCATATGAATCCACGCCGTCCTATCGGCTTCCATCTCCCCCGGGATAAATTGTTTGAATCGTAATCTATCCTAACGTTTCTCAGGCCGAACAACATTTCAGAGTTGTTCAAACCCGCAACTGGCTTGGAGCGCATTTTTTGAACTTGCATTCAGTAAAACAATCATTTCATAATTGGTATGGGCTTCACCGCCATGTACTGTGAATTCAATAAAAAAAAGTGTATAATTATGGCAGGTAATCTTCCATCCAATTTTCACTTTGACAACATTGCGAAATATGTTATGTTGATCACGCAGTTTCCCTGAATGACTTAAACCAAGATGTCAATTTCATATAAAGCAATGTATCAGCAAATTAATAAGATCCACCAGAGAAGTAAAATCTTTCTTTTTCTCAGAACTCCAGTGATAAAAACTTTGTATCCAGTGCGCACTGACACGTTTATTCGTTTGGACAAATTCTGTGAGAAAAATACAATAACACTTTGCTGATAATTATGCTACAGAATCAATTATTTAGTAGGAAGTTGCTCAATTTCATGAGGGAAATTTTAGTAAATTGACTGCAATAAAATTCTACGTACTTCGCCGTTGAGGGTTTAAATAAATTGAAACCTGGTCTATCCGCAAACCAAACTCAGAATAGGGAAACGCAGAATGGTAAAACTACTGAACGCTGGGTAAACCCTTAGTATTTTGCAATTTCAGCAAAGCAAATGGTGTCTTAATAACACTGCAAACGATCCAACATTGAATCTGACGTTGCTGGTCATTTTCGCGCTTGAGTCTTAATTGAACAAATATTTTTTGAATGTTTATGATTAAACTGTTAAATACAACTTCATTAAATTCACAACCGCATCCAGATGTACATTTCTAAATAAAATATATATAGAATGAGACTCGAGTTCAGGTTTGAACTGATGGCTTCTCTGCGGATTGCGGGCACAATAAGTATCCTTGCAGGTATATCTTATATTATACCCACTTATGATGAAGCTCTTTCTACATCAGTGGTTTTCGTATCTCTTCTTCGGGCCAAGGATTTTCGACACTTTGTTTTGCATATTCTTTAGACTAGAGTTCTAAAGAAAGCTTTGTAATAAATCGATTCTTCACAAACAAAATATTTGTTTATACTGTCAATCAAATCCCTTCAATTGTGTTTATGTAAAACAGGTCACTGTGAAATCCATCAAAAGTGAGATCATCTAAGAAATGGCCTTTTTATTCTGTCTTTACTGGCTGCATTTGATTGTAGATTCTACGCTTGTAAAGTACTACATGGGATGCTCGTGGTGAAAGTGTTGGTTATCGAAAGATTTTTTATTCTCATGCAAAACCTCATCAGAATATTCAGGCTTCGCTGCGATTTAGTTAAAATATAATTTGTCAGTTTCATGCAATTGCGTCATTTTAAGCAAATATGTATGATGCGAAAATAAGAGAGATAAATGGGCTAGGCTACTTCGTTACAGCAACTGTTACATAACAAGTGCGGACCCGATTAAAATGAAGGCGGTGCAGAAATTTTATTATTAATCATTTATGGGAATGAGTAAGAGGGGATAATGCAAGAAGTTTGAGTTATGGTACATAAGGACCCAAACACGAAGTTAATGATAAGACTTGAGTCCGTACCAATCTAGCTAAACCCATCATTGTCATTTCTTGTCAACTATTCCTCTATTTCCTAATTTATTCAACTTTTCTTTTAATTTTAGCAGTAGTATTGATAATTTGAAATTGATTAATCACTAATAATGGGTTTTAATTGCTTAATGTTAGCTGTGTTTCTGTGTGGGTCAGTTTCCTCGGTATTTACGGAGAAATGCATGCTGCCCATCCCACAAGAAGAGCTTGATATTTCAAAGGTAGATTTACCATTCACTCATTTATGAAACGAAAGAGTACCCTTTACCCTATTTCTATATTTCAAATTTTTTTTAATATATTAATTAAAAATTGATCAATGACCTATTATGCAATCGAGATACGTATTATTCATAGGTAGAATAAATATTTATGAATATAAATAAATCTTTGACGCAAGATAAAAAAATCTAACTTATTTCAATTCTTACTTACAGCTAGAAGACACAGTTTGGTACCTCGGAGTTCAAACTAACGACGCCGTTTCGGCAGCCGTGACATGTGCTCGAGCGAACAATTTTACAATAACTTCTACGGGATTTAATGCTCATACGGAAGAATTTGGTGCTGGGTAGATTGCTTGTATTCATTTTCGGACATATCATAACTTTCATCGGTGGCCGTGGAAGCTCATATCTGGATACATTAAATAATTTCACTAATCGTTATATACAAGTTAATCAACCAATATATAGCGAGGATTGATAGACATATCGACGTGACCTTGGACCGATTATGTCCTATTCAACAATAAAGATTGTTGATTTTGCGATACTCTCTCCGACGTTTATAATCGTTGGTCTTTGTAAGCCTATTTTACTTTCAGTTGAAATTTGAGCTTCAGCTTACGCGAAATCGAAACCACCACAAGAAGCACAATTCTCACTTGATGACGTCATCGCACACGAAAAATGAATCCCATAGAGGCCTTACGACCTTTCAAAATATATTAGTAATAGACTTCTGGTGAAATATACAATCCTCAACCACTGACAATTTTGACGCAAAGGTCCAGTAGTGTACGAGAAAACCGATTTTTTTCGTAACAATAGGAATAAGAATACCACCAAGAACAGAAACAACATTATCATATCAGACCGATCCACTGTACACTTCGTATCAAATAAGCCGACAAAACTCAACCCAATCACGCCCAATGATACCAGATAATTTGAAATAATTGTAGTACAAACTTTTACGTCCTCGAATCAAGTGATATTTATATTTTAGGTCTCACGAAACTGATTTTATCGGTCACTTTATACGCCACAGACTAGGAGTTTACCACCGAAGTCCTGAAGACGGTATGACGTATACATTATTTTATTTTCACAATAAATCTATTTCGTTGCACTATAGTCTACAATGAGTCTTCACAGCAGTCTTCCGTGCCTTCAATCTTTTAGTTTAAAACATAAAACTAATTTATAGTTATTTCTAGCATGCAACTAACTGTTGTACCATTATATTACAGAACCGTCTTTAAAAGCCGCACACGAGGACACGTTAGAAAAATCTAATGCCGAAGCGCGTAAAATAGGTATGTGCATCATCTGCAGTGAGACATAAATTCTTACGTTACCAACATCATTTTGCTCTATTCGTGACAGTTTTACGGAAAACCTGACGTTGTCCTGCTTTTAATAATTCTTTCAAATGGGACACATATTAATTTTTGCCGAATTTCAGCCATGAGCCATGAAATTAAAAATTTTACTATTTTAAATAGCGCAAATTGACGGTCAAGAAAAGTTTTTTTTTTCCATGCTGAATATCCTCAAATGATGGTACTATACAGTGATGATCATTATGTTTTAAAATTGTGATGTAATCATAATATTTTCTTGGCTATACTATATTTTGAAATTGTTCCTACTTAGATGAGGAAAACTTGCTCAAAGACGATTACGTATTTATAACCGATTATTACAATTACATTGGAGTAATGCTATGTACCGCAGAAGGTGAGTAAACTATATTTTTTTTATTCATGAGTATCATTATCATCCTTCTATCGAGATAGAAATGTAATTCATCTTCATATGAAAAGTTATATATCCAATAAGCAAGCCCATTATATAACAAGATCAGTGGTTCTTAGCCGGGATGTTTGTATCATCATATGAATATTGGTTAAATATAATCAAATACCTATATCTGTCGCTATTGTTTTTTTAGTATTTGGCTTGCATTTATATATATTTATATTTTGTACGATTTTTCTATCAGTCCAAAACACGATCCCATTTTAAAGCAATGCAAGGCACAAGTTTTTCACTGGTTTTTATGAGAATAAATTTAAAAAAAATTGAGTTTGTAGTTTATCTTTATTAATCAAATGATGTTTTTCGCATAGGACAAGTAAAGTATTGCACAATGCACAGGGATTCGTCAAACCTTAGACATGTTTCAATGATTTTCCGCTCCAATAAAATAGTTGAAAAACACAGGATTGGGCTGCTGGAGCAAAATGATTCAAGATTGCGTGTCGCTTACTATAATTTAAAATATCTCAATATCTCTCCCGCTACATATTTGATTGATAGGCTTTTCTGTGAATATCAGAGACATCAATAAATTATGTGCGAGATTGCTGGACTCCTCGCCGCCGTAGGGTGGTTCACATAACCGCTGGTCGGTCACGGCATCCTCCACCATCAAGTCCATGCATTTTAAAACAAACAACTGGCTAACTAATTCCACACCCTACATGGACTGGTAACCGGACGAGAGGGCGTGGTTCGCCGTATCGGCTTTCCTCTTCCCGGGATAAATATGTGAATCCTATCCTATATCACTTCATTTTATGTTGATAGGGTAAGCTATGCTATCTAACTCGGTATATTTTACTCACAATTATCGCTTATTCACAGGAGAATGGCTTCTCTGGAATTACTTCAGGCAACCAAATCCATCTCTAGATAGTGTCATCAAATTTTACAACAAACTTCATGAACTTGGTGTCTCTGCTCGTTTCCATGCATCTCGTTGCAACGAAAAATATTACACCGAGTAGAAGGAAAATAACCGAACTTTCTATACCGCCACAACTTAATAAATTCTTTTATTTCGGATGACCAATTTCTATTTTCACCGAGAGTTTCATCATGTTATATGGTTCAAACATTTGTCACATCATTCATTCTCATAAACCATTTTGGTTCAATCGTTGATTAAATATATTCAGATGATTGCGATAATTAGTGCTCTGTGATAACATTTCGCTCCAAATTCGGTATTAAAGAAGTAAATATTCGCTTTTTAAAGATAATAATATATTTATAAATGTCATTCTAGTTGTTCAGTTTATAGTAAATATTGGGGATATATATATCTTATATTACTGTATCTAGAGGTATTATAGTTCGTAAAATGATATTATGGAATATAGACTTTAATAGAATTGATAAAATTTATCGGGAAAATCGTTTTTTGTTCCAAATGTTTTTTCCGAATAAATCGCACAGTGACGCATACATGTTTATATCATATTTGAAACAAGAAAGCACTGCTCAAATACTAGACACAAAGCCAAAACGAAATATTCTAGCCACGATTTCCCCAAAAATCGTATCTTGGATGAAGCTGAAACTGCGAATCATCGTAATTTACTAGTACTGATACCCAGCATGCCCTAGCTTTACGAGGTCCTGTGACAATGACGGTACATGCCACGTTATGTCTTGTGCCAAGGTGAATTGAAAAGCTGAATGATTCGACTCACAACAACTGCAGTAGTAATTCATTTAAAGTACTTTACCTTTTACACTTACAGTAACTTACCGTACCGGTATCAAAAAACTTCCGACTTTCATGTTGCAAAATTCAGGAGCAAGACAGCCGTGACGCTTGTCGAAATAAAAACTGTGTTACCATGAATAAATAAATAATGATACAGCGTAATTTTGGATAAAATATCAGATCTCATAGGATTTTGTTAACTCAGTATAAAGTTATATTCAACAAATTTTCAGAACGATGACCGCTATTGGACCTTTCCCCGAGCATCGGCTTCCTTGTTTACTTCGTGACATTGCCTAATCAGCAAGATGCAAAAAGTGACGTAACAATGTCTCTCTTTTGCATCTGCTCAGACACTTTTCTCACTCTGATAGATTTTCAAGCGTGGTCATAAACATTAGGCCTACCTCGTTTTCGCGTTATTGAACTCTATTCGTTAGTTTTCTGTTGTGTTTCGGAAACTTAAATAGAAATCAGATAATTCAATGATCACTCTGTCTTCCTAGGAGTTTTAATTTAATTGCAGTAATAGTGTAGAAATAGTTGTGATGGACTAGGCTAAAATTCTTTACCGGTACTTTAAAAAAACAGATTGTTGTATGCGATGAATCAAAATGATGGTTTGAAATACATACCGCATTGTACAGGCGCCAACTCGCAGAAGCACTCCTATAATAGCCCCGAAAATTTCGCAATGGTTAAGTATAGAAATAATTTTTCGGGGGTCAAAGTACAGGGAAAGGTCCATTACCCCATAAGCAACACCAACTGAACTGTGCACCAGACTACTGAGAGCACATGGCTACTTCACCTTCACAGCTGGTTGAGCATGACCTGTCACCTGCAACTGATGACATCACAGGTTATGCTCAGCCAGCTTCCCAGAAATACAGTAAAGATAACGTTAACAATCTCCCAAGTTTACAATTTCAAATAAAAGTTTAACATAATACATTCAACAGTTAATTTAAAGATGCTCCTTTTTTAGTAAAACAACCTGCTAATTGTTGATGACTCGGAAGTTTTTCTTTATGCAGGAGATATTTGTTGGGATGAAACCATTTCTTTTAAACCATAAACGATCCTGAGGCGTTTCTGTGATACAGCTATTGTCGATTTGATTGCATCACAAAGGCTTTGACTATCAGTACAACATTCAATTTTTTCCTGTTGAACTCGTCCAGTCGTTAGTTCAGACTATAAAGCCGCTAGTAGCACCACTGTATTTATTGCATTTACGAAAATGATGGGTAACTGAATGTACCGTATTTCTCCGTGTATAATACGCACTTTCATGGTCAAATTTAGCCTCACAAATATGGGGGTGCGTATTATACATTGGTCTAGAAAATATTAATTCTCATTTTATGCTTTAATTAAGTGGCTGAAAATTGTCACATTTATTAATCTTAAGTTCTTAATTTTATAAGGCAAGCATGATCTGTTAGAATAAGATCATGCTTGATTCGGTAGAAGCATACTCATTGATGGAGGAGCAGAAAAAATGGTGAAATAAAATTGATAAAAACACGCTGTACATCCGTTAACTGCATTCATTGTCTGCTCTGTTTCTCTCGTGTCGCCGAATCGGCAAAACTTTACAATAATATTGACCTATGGCTTCTCTTTGAAGTGCGGCGTCTGAAAACACGTTCTGATATCGGGGCTTGTCAGATTTTGAAAGGGGAGTGACAAATAGTTTTACAAGATACGTTAATGTCAAATAACATCACATCATGATTGGCAGAAGTTTCACAAGCAAATACATTAAATATTGCCAGATATATATAGTTAACGGAAGGCAAGCAGACAGAATGCCTGAAACGTCCGGAAAAATCACCTACAAGGCAAGAGAAGACGGAATTTTGATATGCGTATTATGCATGGAGTTTGAAAAAAATCTTGTTAAAAATGTACTAAAACATAGGTGCGTATTATCAGCAGGTGCGTATTATACACGTAAAAATATAGTATTTGGGATGACTATGAGTGATACTTTCTTTATCAGTTTTTAATTCAAGTCCTAAATATCTAAAAGTTTTAGTATATTCCACTCCAACTTTGATTTGGTCGTTCAAACTCTTGATAAATTTGCTGCTTTCGAATTCTTCCGAATCGCCCCACAGAAAGTCGGTCACGTGCAATGCGATCACCCCTATCAAACAATGATCGAAATAATAGAATAAAGCAGAATCCACTAAAGAGATAAGACCATCTAATAACAGGAGCGTTTCATCAACACTTTTGTTCCATTACTGTTCTGTTCTAAATTCGCAAGTTCAGAAAAGACTCAGTGGGTGATGTACACAGCAAGTTCAAGACTTTTAAGAACATATTGGAGAATCAGTCTTAAATTCATTGAGAAAATCCTCAACTACTAGTCTAGCTTTTGGTTCCGGTCCATCGTCATTCTTTTTCATTGAACAGACTCATCTTGTAGTTCACAACTTCTGGCCTTTATTTTCTTCTTCTGTATAGACATCGTTTTGCTTCCAATTTTCCAGTTACTTCATCTTTGCTTCAAGAAAAAAAGTTTTCGTTAATCAACATCACCTGTTTAACGATTGGTATTTCTTCAGCTGGTAGCCAAAATCATTCATAATAGATAGATTCTCAACAGTATCAAGATCAATTGATGATTTTGTGTCTTCTTCAGGTGACGGTTGCAAATACTCAATATTATACAACTACTGCACTTTAGGAGGTTTTTTCCGTTAGAAAAAGAAAGAAAGATTTGGATCCATCACAATTACAGCTGATGAGGGCTGTTACCATGAACATTATGCAATGAATTTTTTGCATATGGAGACCAGAAAAATGCTGTTTTCCAATCAAATGATACGGAATATCTAATTTCCAGCAAATGTTCAGTTAGAATAAAATTATGCCTCTCGACTAAACTATAGACTTTCTGCTGTACTTGTCCTAAGTTCTATGTTGAAATTTTTAGCCACATCACGCAAAACTGCATTGTTGAACTCTCCTGCATTATCTGTGAATACCTGTCTTGGAGATGCATATCCATTGTGACAAAAATTCACTTGCTATGACCACCAATGGGGATTTGAAACTCATAATCAAAACAGAACTAAACCTGGTGAACATGTCGATAGTATGCATGTACCATAAATTTGGGCCAAGCTGATAGAGGTCCATGGCTATACCTTCATTGAAATCAGTTGCACGCGGTAACCCAAACCCGGTTTCGGAGAAGGTTTCTTGTAAATTTTGCAAACCTAACAATTGTCAAAACTTTCCTCAACATATTTGAAGACAACTTATTTCCTTAATTACTGATAAGTTTTGATATTCGCTCAAAAGAAGCGTGATCAAATTGTCCATGCAACTTCAAAAAATCATTTTCAGGAAAAATTCCATTGTTCCAGAGTCCTAACTGGTTTATGAAACATTTCCACTCTTTTTTCCGCAAAGTCAATCACAGTATTTGCTTTTCTCATGAAATCTCATTAATAATGGTATATTTTCATCAACCACGTCACAAGAAATATTGACTTTGGTTTCCCCAATGTATCCTGAGATTTCTATGGAATACAATGAATTGTCTTTTCGACCATCACCAAACTTGAAAACTCCTCCACGTATAAGATTTTTCTATTTACTACCCATGTCAATGATCCACAATAAATAGATACCTTCAAAATTTAAATACCACTATACACATATTTGGAGCATAGCAGATTATCAAGTAACACATTAATGGCTTATTATTTTTAGTTTTGTTTCCTCCCCCATATATTTGATTGCAGCTTTCAGCTTGCATTTGAACAATGTTCGCAAAGTTGATTGGTAAGATCCCCCTCTTCAAATATAATTTCGAAAATCTCATATTGTACCTTCGCAAATGCAATAATTAGTCCTAATATTGTTATTACATTTTGTAGAAACAATATAGTTCTAATATTGTAATGGAGAGGTGCAATTGGCTATTACATATATATTTACATTATATGTTATGAGAGACAGTAGGTTATCATTGTTAGTAAATGATAATTCACTTTCCTAAAATACGGTATTTATTATAAAGAATGAAATCGTTTTCCAATACGCCGATAAAAACAAGATTATGGCATTTCAACGATACACAATAGCACAGTGGCAATAAAGAAACATTAAAATGTGCACAATGAATGAAATTGTAATAAATGAAATTGAGTATTACACTCTTCTCCCCCCAGTTGAAATGTCCATACTGTTTGGGGGTTTGGAAAAGGATGATGGTACCTGCAATATACGGTGACCGTACATTTGAACCCACGTACATTTGAACCCATGTGTATATCCACGGGTTTAACTTATATGCGGGTGCTAAAACCCATGGATTAGGGTTAGTATGGGTTCAACTATCCGTGAAACATTCCATAGGTGCCACAAAAATTCCATAGGTGCAATAGCATACAGGTGCAATTGTCATGGGTTCAAATGTACGTGGGTTCAAATGTAATGGAACCGCAATATACATACATAATATAAGATGGTTAGTTATCTTCCTCCCCCGGGGGCAATTTTATTGGGTATACATAAAACTGAAT